TGTGTGTGTGTGTGTGTGTGTGTGTGTGTGTCTTCTTCGTCGTTGTCTTCATGGCAGGTACGCGGTACCTCCTTCCGCAGCGGAGCTATGGCGGACTACTTCACGGTGGCACTCTTCAACTGTGGCGCCCTATGGCGCGCGTCTCTCTCCTGCTGCAACGTCGATGGCGCGTGGGATAGCGGGTACCAGCTCCGATACCAGTGCAATCAGACTCGCTTTCATTCACACTCCACATGCATGCAAACAGGTTGCGCCGCAAACTGGCGTCAAGCGCCCACTCAAAACTCGGAGCTATAGTACCAAGAACGCAGCTCATATACAAGTTCACTTCAGACAGCGATGGCGGCACATCGCCTATACAACTCTCTGTTCGCCGCTAACTCAACACTGCTGTTCGCACACACGATCACCCTGGATATCCCACACACATCACACTTTGTACACTCACACACACCCGCACACACCTACAGCTATGGCGGCTATGGTCGCTACTACTCTACCGCTATGGCTAACTTCCTTCTCGCCCACTTCGTCCTCGAGCTCACTGCAGACCACCTCGCACAAGTCGCTATGGCAGCACTTCCGCATGGCTCACGCAGGAATGAATGAATGGCTGGGCGCTGCCTCCTGATTTATACTTCTGTAACTCGCTGGTCTGCCCTTTTTCCATCGGAGCCAGGAATGAATGAATNCCCTTTTTCCATCGGAGCCAGGAATGAATGAATGGCTGGGCGCTGCCTCCTGATTTATACTTCTGTAACTCGCTGGTCTGCCCTTTTTCCATCGGCCCATGGTGCACACAGTCCCTAATGGTACTTGCTGGACTGGACTGGGACTGACTGGACCGGTACCGCTGGCTGCATGGGTTTGCACCACAGACTCACTGCAGTCGCACTGCCAACCTACTGAGGTTGGCTCCACCACTTGCCCACTTGCCAATGCCTAAAAGTGAGTCCACTCCAAAAGGCCGCTTCCGGGACCTTCCGAAAGTCTGTAGACTTGGCCTTTCAGGTACTGTAACAGCTACGACCTTGACCTCTCAGGACTGTAGCAGCTACGACCTTGACCTTTCAGGATCCCTACAGCTACGACCTCTACAGGGCTGTGGCTCCTACTTGACAGACCTACAGATCGAACCCCTACCACTACATAGACCTACGATAGAGAACAACAACTGCCAAAACACAGGTCATGGGTTCAAACACTCGGGGTCGACACAGATATTGTACACAGGTAAGGTGAGAACTAGGGTTCGAGCCCTCGGATCTGCATTCGCTACTGCTAAAGGTGAAAACCATTTCAGAATTATTAATAATTAAAAAACTGGAGTTGTCTAATAAATTATTATAGAGAGAGAGCATGTCCGGACCCCCCAAAAAAGCATAATCGGGCCTGAAAAACGAGAGAAGGTTAACGGAGACCCTAATTTTCAGACCACTTGCCATGCCATTTATATGAAAACCAAAGGGTCATTTAAATCGAACTTGCCACCAATTCGTAGAGTGGAGACCATACTAACTGCAGAACAAAATCCAAAAAAGAACAACAAAAAACATATAAAAACATATAAAACAGCAAGGCAAAAGTGCATTTTCATGAAATTTTGCCAACATCTTTAATTTCAAAAATCTTGAGAAATTTAAGAAATCTTAACAAAGGAAATTCCAATTCTCCGAGTGACACAAAATTTGGCACACACCAACCTTGAACCAAAACAAGAACAGGCAAAAAAAAAAAATAAAAAAAACATAAAATTTGACCCCGAAACCCTAATTTCAGTTTTGGACTCGTTACCCAGGGCATGAAAATGAGGGTCCCCTTTAACCATTTGTGTGAAAAACCCCCAAAACAAATTTGGGGGCTTGGCTCCTCAATGGGAAGGGTCCTGGACCGTTTTTTTTTTTCTTTTTTTCCTCAGAATTTGGCAGATCCGGACCTTCCAGACCGGACGTCTGGAGTCTGGACTGAATCCAGACTATCTGGATGGCGGTCCGGACGTCCGTATCGTAGCCATGGTTCGTTGTCCTCTAGGAAAGTAGTGGGATGGCGGGTACTTCGGTGTGTCGTTTCGATGTTGGTGGGAAGGCTACAGCAGGGCCGTGCTGTGTAAAAAAAATAAAAATTATATTTTAGTTTTTTTTTTTTAAAGGCGGTATTTTTTAGTTTATAACTGCTTTAGAATCCCATAACTGTACTATCACGTGCTATGTTTGTCCATATGTTGAGTTTCGTGTTTTTACTAGGGTATTAGTGATGTTTCAGAGTTAAATTCAGTATTCATTTTAAGAATGTATGATAGTCTTCAAAAATATAAAAATTGGTGTCTTTGTACTCAAAGATCATTCTAATTTTTATTCTTTTTTTTTACTTTTATTGTCTTGTCGGGAAACGGGTCTGGCGTCCCTTACAAACTTCGCCGCAGCACGTAAGCTGAGCAAGACTTACGACTGTGGCAAAAAGAGCAATGCCTTCCTCTCGTCTTCTCTTCTACTACTTCAACCCATTTCTTAATCAGACTAAAATCTGAAAACGCCATAAAAGTTGATAAAACCACCTATCTCACAATAGCTCTAATATCACGTGGAAATGAGTTGTAACCCTAGTCTAATCTAAGCTCGGCACTAATCAACCCATTAAACCACCACTATCCCCACCGCCATAAATTAGGGGGAACCGGTAGCACATGTCCATGAGGGCTACCGGTAGCACAGTGGGGGGCACTGGCAGAGTGGCAAAATTCAAAAATGTGTCGAATTATCCCCGCGATTTATTTTGGGGTTCAAATTATTTTTTTCATTTTTTTTTAAACCACCAGTAGCTTTGGCGTCCGGTTTCAACAAGTCCTGGCCAGTACCCGAACTTTCAGGAGGCCGAGCCCAACGTTGATCAATCTGATCAGCGGCCGTCGCTTCGTTTTGGCCTCCTGAAACGTCGAAGGCCGAGTATTTTCGAACGGACAAAGGTACTGGTGGTTTAATATTTTTCCTGTAAAGATCATGACAAAATCTACGGACCCTCCAATTTTCAGAGTTGTTGGGTCATCCTTCTGATCGCAAAACATCGCGAAAGTTGGGTTACTTTTCCCGTTGGCCCATACGTGGTAGAGTAGCAAAAATGGAAAATATGACGAAACGGCGCAGCATTTACTTCACGGTCTAAATTTTTATTTTTCATTTCTTTAATATTT